TCAGGCTTTGTGTAAAAGAGCTGCTCAGTGCACAAGCTTGTCCTGAGGGTTTAGTCTTTTGTGTGAATTTCTCCTAACCTGGATAGGAATTTTCCAGTTTGACTTCATGTGAAAGGCTTCTGACAGGAAAGTACCATCTAGTCTAAGACTGGCACATTTGTCCCCGTGGCCATTGTGCCAGAGGATATTTGAGTTTGGGTCAAAGGATAGCCCCAAGCAGGATCTCTTGATGCCATCCTGGATGTCCCTGAGCCCCATCTAAGTGTTGTTACAGGATTTTTCATCTTTTGGTTCTTCCTGTATGCTGCATCTTTTTACTTGGTGTTGTCAAGAAGTTAGAATCCCTTCTAGTTGCATATAACCTAATCACCTTGGCGTTGGTGATGGGGGTGAGAATACATGGGATTCCTTTCTGTCTCGGTTACGTTGTGTACTTGGCCCACTTCTCTCCACAGGTCTGCTCCGGCTCAGCCGCCCACTGAAGGGGCAGAAGGGGCTGCCCCAGGTGGGGGCCCCCCTGGCCCTCCTCCTAATACAACCAGTAACAGACGACTACAGCAAACCCAGGCACAAGTGGAGGAAGTAAGTGGAGAGCTTTGTCTCTGAGAGTTTCCAGCTGCTAGAAGTTTAGAAACTTTTTTTCTTTTTTCTTTTTTTTTTTAATAGAAGGGCAAGGCATTCTTGAGTTACATGGGGCCAGACTTGTGATTCCCTTGTTGTTCTTACCTCTGTCGCTAGCAAGGAAGCTTACTGGCTTTGTTTCTGCAACCTCCCTCAGGTGGTGGACATCATGCGTGTGAATGTGGACAAGGTCCTGAAGAGGGATGAGATACTGTCACAGCTGGATGACCGAGCTGACGCCTTGCAGGTGGGAGCATCACAATTTGAGAGCAGTGCTGCCAAGCTAAAGAGGAAATATTGGTGGAAAAACTGCAAGGTGAGTTTTCTTTTTCTCTCTGCCTTTACTTCCTGGGCCTCAACTCTTAGAAGGCAAGAAAACCTTTGGGCGCATACCTTCCTTACCTCTAGTGGCACAGGATCTCTGCCCTTCAGAACCCGGGAGAAAACCTGAAAGCCTCCTTGGGATGCATTACCCTGAATTGGCCACCAGGGTAGGCTAGAGTATTCAGAACCACTAACTGGGGGCCGGTGATACCCTGAGGAGTTTGGAAATGGTCAGTCAAGCTGCTTTTCCCCAAAAGATCCCTGGAAAAATTTCCCCTGGACATTCCCCACACACAACTAACCTCAGCATGATGGCTAGGATAGATATATATTTAAATACCTGCAGCTTTTAGGAATCAGCTGAACACTTCATGATGAAAAATGAACTAGCTGGATAAAGATCCCAAGTCTACACCTCCACTCGAGTTCCTTTCAAGGCCTTCGGGCAACAGGCGCTAAGCGAAACAGAGCAGGCTGCAGATGCTATAATGTTTCTGGGAAGCTTCAGATGTGGTGCAGGGTTAGGGTTAGGGTTATAGGTCATTCCTCCTTCCCTAAATCCAAGGGCCCATTTTTGGTCAATGTTTCCTCAGATGATGATCATGCTGGGAGCTATCTGTGCCATCATCGTGGTAGTTATTGTAAGTAAGTATCGGTGAGGTTGCTGGTGGGGTGAAGAGGTGGGAAGGTCCTGGAGTCTTCTCCCAGCCCTGCCTGCCTGCCTGCCTGCCTGGGGAGTGGGGCTGCTCTGACTGAGGTATGGAGATCGCTGCTGTGGGGTCATCACCCGGTTCGGGAGGGAGGAAGGTCAAGGACGAAGGACTTCCTAGGTGGGCAAGCCTTCCCTCTGCAAGATATTGTGGGAAGATGGTCCCTCCTATTCTGAGGAATTGGGGCTATGCTGTTTGTCACTGGCTGGGCTTAGGGGAGACCATGGGGATGGGACACCTGCAACTGTAAGCCCCGACTGTCTAGTAACTTGATGTAATTTGCCCTCTTGTTTTCTCCTGTCTCTTTCTCTTTTCCATCTGGGACTTCCTGATTCCTGTGTCCAGTCTACTTTTTTACTTGAGAATGTGCCACCCCTTCCCTGTTCTCCATTGCCATCCAACTCATGTCCCCTTCCCTCTGTTTACTCTCTCAACAAACGTCCCCATCTACCTCCGTCCACCCCATCCAGGCTTCTCCGTTGCCCACTCCTTCTTTTCTGTTGCTTTCATTTGCACTGTGTCCCTCAACACTAGAAATGCTGCTCGTGGCACCGTCCTGAAGTAACCACCTGAAGAGCAACAGCTGGCACCTTCCCCCTACCCCCTTCTTATGTACCCATTCAAGTTCCCCCAAAGCCAAAAAGAGTGGGAGGCCAAGAGAAGAGGAAGAGGTGTAGCTGGGGTGATATGCCCAAGAAGGTGCCAAGACCAGGGGGGAGGAGAAGGGTATCTGGTGCCCGTGGTGCCACCAGGAAAGGCCAGGCCACTGGCAGGAGGAGGCTGTGAACAGCTAGAAGAATGGCAGCTCACTCAAGACTGCCCTGGTCACATGGGGCTCTTCTCCTAGGCCAGGCCTGCAGAGGATCCTGGGGTGGGCCCAGAGACCAACTTGGTTCTGGTGCGATACCCTTTTAGAAAGTCAAGCTTATTTTTGCAGTAATTTCTAATCTGTTAGTCCAAGATTTTCTATGTTGTCAGGGATATTACAACCTTTTGCTTTGTTTTCTGGAGACCTAGAGCACACACGTTAATTGCTAAAGTACCAGCTTCATTCCTATCCTAGATGCAGCCCCATAAGCTCATGACTACAAGGGGCTGTCTCTCATCCACATTTTCTGCAGCATTCTGTGTTGTTCCTGAGAATACCAAATATAGAGCCAAAGCTTGGGACTCTCCATTTTAATTGTTGGCATAGATAAAGAGAGAGTATGTGTTAATTCCAGAGAGACAATGAGTCAAGGACCCAATCTGAAAATAACAAGATCGGAAGAAGCTACCTCTTGCCTGCTTTTTGAGGAGGGTCCTGTTCCTTCCTTCCCATTGATAAAGTGTGAAGTGTTAGGAATGAGGGTCCTTGGACTCTCAGGGGCTCCTTTTCTCTACACTATTCCCAGCTACTTGCCAAAGGCAAGGACGAGGCAGGAGGTCCTTCCTGAGGGTAGCCGATTCTGAGTGTTCAGAGAAGTCCAATATACTTGCCAGCCCAGTCTCAGGTGGGAGGCGGGACGGTCTGTAGACAAGTGTGCTTGTGGACTGCTGTGCTGTCATGGGGCCCTCTCATCAAGAGCCACCTGTCTGTTCTTCCTGCACTGTATTCCCCTTCTAAACCACCTGTACCCATCTGAATGCCACTTTGCCTCCTTTCCTTTCCTCTGCGTGGTTTGTGGGGACAGACAGTGGAAGCTGAGGCGGCCACTGGTGGACTTCAGGATAGGGTGTTGAATGGAACAGACCCAGGTGTGAGGGGAGGAGGGCAGGCTGGGAACAGGAGGGGGAGCACCCATGACCCTTTATTCTTCCCGTCATCTGGCCCATGTGCAGGAAGAGGCTGAGGCCAGGCTGGGCTGGGTCTGGATGCCATTTTCCACGCAGCAGCATTTCATTGTGCAAAACCATCCTTCCTTTCCCTTTGCCCCCTTTTCCCACATTCCCTTCGTCCTGCCCCAGGGCAGGACTGAAGAGCTGGAAGAAAGCAGTCAGTGTACCCTCCCAACGGCCCCCCTCGAAGGTCTCCACTCTCCTCTGGGCTCCTCCTTGCCTAATGCAGGGGGTCACCGCTGGAGAAGAACCACCAGTGTCCTCGATGTGTCCCAAGCCTGGAGCCAATTCGCCCTCTTGGCCCACCTAGCCCTGTCACAGGAATTCTTTCCTGGGTTTCTGTCCCTCTGAGGCTCACCAGATGTAGTTGGCTTTGTTCTTTTGGGGATGTTTGCCCTTCTACTTTCTTTCTCACCCCACCCTGTACCCTCTTCTGTGTCTTTGCTGTCCCCCCAACCCCACCCCCCCAACCACCCATGTGCATGAGCAAATATGCAACCAAACCCTGGGACTTTGCAGTCAAATGAAGCCAAGCTTCCCACATCCCCTTCTTCTTTGGTTTGCCATGAGGCGATGTGGGGTTTCCACTGTTTGTCTGTCATCACCTCTGTCTTTTTTCCTACCCCCAACCCCACACTTGTATAGAATAATAACAGTTGTACTTCCACCAAAGGCATGTGGCATATTTACCAATCTCATGTATTCTGAACAAAGGCAAAAAATATAAATTCCTACCACTATGCTGACTTGGTTGTTGTTTGGGTTGGAGTCACTGAGGAGGGGCCAGGGTAGGGGGTTGTTTTCCTTCTCTAGTCTGATGTTGTGTGAGGCCGGAAGGCTGGCTTATGTGTGCTGTGTGGTCTTCTCGAGATGAAAGGTGTGTGTGTTGGCAGAGGAAGTGGTCTCTGCTCTTGTTCGTACCTGGAGCAGCCCAACTCTTCCAGGTGCTAGCGAGAGGAAGTGATGGCAGGAAGCTGAGTGGGCATCTCGAACATCACCTCACAAACAACTGCAGGTTTTCTCAGACACCTCCTGTCCACCTCCTTCCTAGGTCCCCAGGCTGCGCGGCCTGTCCCGGGGGCGTGCTGAGATGAGGCCTCAGCAAACACGCCCGTTCCCCAGCAGCCTCACGTACAGTTTCCTTATGCCGAGTTCCACTGTGCTGACCAGACACAATTTAGAAATGGATGAAAAGAGACATCTTCCCCCTGCAGTTGAGGGACTGAGGAGTTTGTAGGTATCCTGAAATGCCGGGTAGCTGTCTAAAGGGGCACAACCTTAATTGCAGCTCAAGGGTACACAGAGCAACTGGCGTGGCGCCCCAAGGCTGCTTCTCAGGGCCTTCGTTTGACACCTTGAACACTCTGTGAGTCGGCGGCATGGCTAGGCTTGGGGACAGGGCTCATTTGGGTCCAGTGTGGGGAAAGATGGCAACGTGGAAAAGCTTTGTTTCTGAGGACACAAGGGGCTTTTATTTGGACAGAGTTCAAATGTTTGCATGTGATGGCCCAACCCCCACCCTTTTGCCCCCCGGCCCCTCACTTGCTCCTTTCTTAATGTCTTCCCATTTTCTTTTCCTACCACAGGCTTATTTTTAACCTCCACACAGACATTCTGCCTTCCTACCCTCTCACCTCTTCACGTTTTCTCCCTTGGTGTTCAGCCCAGGGACACAATGAAGGAAGGCAGAGACGTGCACAGAGCCGGAGCCCGAGCCCCTGTGACCTGTGCCTTCCTCATGCTTTTCTTCAGGCCTTTTTGATTTCTGACACTTGGCTAGGGTCCTTCTGGGAGAATGTGACTACTCTTTCTTCTTACTGAGGCAGGAGAGTGGTTACCGAGAGGGCCTCAGCATCTTGGCAGACCTCGGTGAGGGAGCTAGGGGAAAACAAGGGGGTAGGAGGTTGGTTTCAGTTGGGGTAACCCCATAAATGGTGGGGGGATGGGCCGGGACTCGGGACACTTGGGTTTCATCCTTGGTCTGGGTGGGGAGGGGGCTACAGCTGGCTAATCTTCAGGTGAAGAGGGGCTGGGGCAGGGCTATGGACCAGCAGGAGCTTACCTGGCCATCTCTGGAGCCCCAGGAACAACAGTGTAAGAAGGAAGAGGCTGCTGGCCAAGAGGACTCCAAAGGCCGTTTTCTGCTCTGTAGGTTGAAAGCAGCATAGGCAGGAATTAGTAGGCAGGAATCCTTTCTGAGCCCAAGCCAGATCCCCAGCAAGAGGAACAAAGGAGGGAGGGAGGGAGGGAAGGAGAGGGAGAGACAGACAGACACCCTATCACTGGTGAAGGAGCTCATAGCAAGTGTTCTGCTTTTGCCCAGGAACTGGGCGCACTGTAGTATTCATACTTGTTCAAGATTGTTGGGTGTCCGTGTGTTCCTCCACACGGGATTTCCTACCTCTTCCATGCTGGGACATTTTTAATTGCTTCATGAGAGCGATTTAGATTAGATTAATTGTTGACGGGTAAACTGGAATTTTGCAACTAGCTGGGGAATGGTGTAAGCTGAGGCAAAACTCCCAGTTTTTGGGAAACTTGGCAGTCTGGCGAGCCACCAAATGATGCCCGGTGTTCCTGGATGTTTGCATCTCTTGTCGAAAACCTTTCAATGACATTCTGTGACTTCAGCATGAAATTCCAGCTCTAAGGCCCATTGTGATCTACCCACTAATAGCCAGAGAGGGTTGAAGGCTGTAGGGGAGCCCATTTTTCATATTTTCTTTTTTACCATTTATGAGGTAGGTGACTTTGGGCAAATTTCTTAACATCTGTAAGTGCCAGTTTGCTCAACAGTAAAATGGAAGTTGTGATAATATATGTGATTGTACAGCTGAGTGCTTGATTCGTGTAAATGCTCAATAAATGTAGTTACTTTCAAGCTTTAGAGCCACTTCTCTCTTTTCCCACACACCCTTGGCTCTAGCTGTGCAGTTCCCACATTTTCCTTAGACTTATAATTTGGCCGTCAGACACGCCCTTTTTCCCATCTTAGCTGTTCCCTTCCCACTGAGCTAGCTAGCTTGGCTTGAATGTCTCCTCCAGGCTGTCCTCTGACTGCCTAGTCAGTCCCTCCAACCTGACTAAGCGCCTTGAGGGCAGGAACAATTCACCCTTGATCTCCCGCTGTCAGTACATCACCTAGTACCCTGGAACCTGGGGTGTAATGATGCATCTCGGCATGTGGTGGCAGCTATGGAGGCTGCCACCTTGGGAAAGGAGCCAAGGCTGAACAAAGTGCTGAGGGAAGCAGAACAAGGCCAAAGATGAGCTGGGGGCAGGCGAGCCATGAGCCCAAGTATGGAGGTGGGGAAAAGAGGGCACTCCTAGTACCTGGTGGGGCAACCCAGGCGGTGGACCTAAGGGGCTCCTCCAGGGAGATGTGGGAGACCTGGCAGGTGTAAGTGGTGCCTTCAGGGCCAGGTTCTGCCTTCAAGAAGGAGGAGACGCTGTAGGTGCCCGCTGTGCTTTGTCGGAGGCTGGAGAAGGAGGCCCCAGAGACGGGGACTGGGGCTCCACCTGGCTCTTCTCGGATCCACGTCACAGTCACGTCCAGAGGATAATAGCCAGCGATGTTGCAGATGAGGGTGGGTGGCAGCGCTTTGTTTGTTAAGCTTAGTTGTACTTTGGGGGAAGCTAGAAGAAAGAACGAGGAATCAGATTCCAGAGATATCCAGCCGGACAACAGAGTTGCCCAAAGCATTCTCTTCCTGCTGGGAGTGAGAGCGGGTTGTGGGAGCTCAGTGGAGTGCCAAGGGGGCTGTAATGGGTCCACTCTAGATGCGGGCCAGGAGGGGTGCGCCTTCCACAGGTAATTGAAAAGCAATAGGAAAACCAACGAAAGGTTGGCTTCTTATCATCACTATAAGCTGGCGATTTTAAAGGACGTCAGTGATGAAATACTCCTGCCAGTCAGACAGCCCCTCCATGGTTTGCCGCTGCTTCTTCTTAGGATGTGCTCCAGAGGACGGAGGTACTTGGAGACAGCCAGCCAGGGCCGGGCAGCAGGCTCCTGGGCTGGGAAATTGCGTACTGGAATTACCCTGGAGTCTGACAGAGAACAGTCGGCACTTCTAGGATGGAGATGGCAGTTAGGTTGTGGCCATTCAGCCTGCTTCTCAGAAAATTGCCCTTGTGTTGGATGCTGTCCTGGAAAACACCTCCATAGGCATATCCCTTCCCCTTTCCTTGGAGAACCAAAAATGACCTCACCTTGGACGTGGAGCTGGATGATCTGTTGGGCTTGGTACAGAGAGGTGGTGATCTGGCAAATGTAGGTCCCCTCGTCCTTCAGGGTGAGGCTAGGCAGGGTGAGGGAGGCATCCCCGGCCAGGAGTAGCTGCTCTGACTCCAGGGAGGCACCCTCCCGCTTGGCCTGCCGCTGCCCCGTGGTCCAGCTGTACACCAGCTGGCCGTGGCCCTTATGTTGCAGCCGCCACTCCACGCCAGTCAGGTCTAAGCCCGGGGCCACGGAGAAGCCACAGTGCAGGGAGGCTGAGGACCCCAGCAGGAAATTCAGCAATGGGGTCTGTGTTGTCACTTGGAGCTCCACTATAGTGAGAAAAAGAAGGGTGACTGTGGGCTACTTCCTCCTCGAGTCCACCTGATCCCTAAACTGTGGGCATGTTGTGGGCGTATGCCTGCCCCTGCCTCCTTCCTGGACATTTCCCATCAGGTGCAACCACAAAATGGGGCGTGTGGGTGGCACAGTTAGGCATCTGACCCTGGATCATGGCTCAGGTCATGATCTCACAGTTCATGAGTTCAAGCCCCACGTTGGGTTCTGCACTGATGGTGTGGAGCCTGCTCGGGATTCTGTCTGTCCTTCTCTCTGCCCCTCCCCTGCTTGTGCGCTCTCTCTCTCTCTCTCTCACAATAAATAAATTAAAAAAAAAAAAAAAAGATGGAACCACAAAGAAATGGTGCTGTGGAAAAGCAGCATGGCACACATGGTAATCCTAACTATTTTGGAGTCACTTACCCCTGGATAATCTGACGAAAGCTATGGACGTCTCACCAGAAAATTACACATGCAAAATTATGTGTTACCATTGACCCTCAGGTAAGACCACTGGAATAGCAGCAAAAGCTTTGGAACCCTGCTTCTTCCACTTACTAGCTCTGTGACCTAGGGCAAGGCAGTAAGGGTTGCCAAGGTCATCTGCTTAAGGCGAAGCTGCTGCGAAGACTAAATAGGAATAAGAGATTTAAAAAGCACCCAGTGGTAGTATTTGTGCCAAACATGCTGAAGCTGAATCCAATGACGAAAACAATCAGACACATCCAAATGGTGGGATACTCTACAAGACAGCAGGCCTGGACTCTTCAAAATGTCAATGCTAGGAAAAGACTGTTCTGGAGTAAAGGAGGCTAAAGGCACAGGACAACTGAATGCATGACCCTTGTTTGAATCCTGGACTTAAAACAAAAACAAGGGGCGCCTGGGTGGCTCAGTCGGTTGAGCGACAGACTCCAGCTCAGGTCATGATCTCATGGTTCGTGAGTTCGAGGCCCGTGTCAGGTTCTGTGCTGACAGCTCGGAGTCTGGAGCCTGCTTCGGATTCTGTGTCTCCCTCTCTCTCTGTCCCTCCCCCGCTCATGCTCTGTCTCAGAAATAAATAAACATTAAAAAAAAATTAAAAAAAAAAAACAAAAAAAACCAAAAACAAACTAGAACATTAGTGGGACCACTGGAGAAATTTGAACTTGGACTCTATATTGACAGTACTATTGCATCAATTTAAAAATTTCTTAAGTCTGGCGGCACCTGGGTGTCTCAGTCGGTTAAGCGTCTTGACTTCGGCTCAGGTCATGATCTCACGGTTCATGAGTTCAAGCGCCATGTCCAACTGTGCACTGACGGTATGGAGCCTGCTTGGGATTCTCTCTCTGCCCCTTCCCACTTGTATGTGCGCACATACGCCCATTCTCCCTCTCTCTCAAAATAAATGAACATTAAAGAACATTTCTTAAGTCTAATGCTCAGTGGTGTACCAAGTAATGGTAGGAATGGACTGCCTTGGCAGGGAGGAGTGTTTTATCAGTGATAGTGTTCAAGATTGTCAATATGGTGGTGATGTAATGGTGAGAATATGTTCTTAAAGTCTTTACACACTGTACTCCCTTATTGCCTGCACCACCCTAGACTGCTCCCCACCTTGATTTGCTGCCAAGGTGATGGTTTTGTGATTATGAAAGAGAATATCCTTGTTTTTGGTTATAAACTTTGTGTTATGAGCCAATACATGACATACATGGAAACATTTGGGGTGAAGTGTTGGAGTGTCTGCAATTTACTTTCAGTTCAGGGAGGGATACCTATCCTTCCATCGATCAAGAGAGAGAATGCGGCAAGACATTAATAATTGGTTGATACAGGGGCATCTGGGTGGCTCAGTAGGTTAAGCTACCAACTTTGGCTCAGGTCATGATCTCATGGCAGGTGAGTTCGAGCCCTGTGTCAGGCTCTGTGCTGACAGCTTGGAGCCTGGAGCCTGCTTCGGATTCTGTGTCTCCCTCTCTGTCTGCCCCTCCCCTGCTCGTGCTCTCTCTTTCCTTCAAAAATAAATAAACATTAAAAAATAATTGGATGAATGGTATACAGGTGCTCATTACATTATTCTTTTACCTTTTTGTAGGTTTGAAATGTCCCTACAAAAGGTAGAAAGACAGGGGGGGAATACCTCCCCCAAAGGGGGAATACCCTAGCATGGCTTAGGGGGAATACCTAAGCCATGCTAGGACTATGGCTGACACTGGACAGACATGAGAACCCCTCTTTTCTGCTGTGGCAGGGTAAAGTTAGGTTGAGTCTTCTGGGGCTTTCTAAGGATAAGAGGCTAGCCCCCTAATCTCTGGACCTGGTTGTCCTCTTTTTGGAGGCAAAATACTGGATTTGAGGAACTCTGGAGAAGCCTGTCATCATGTTCTCAATTTCCTGTGTCCTCTGGGATGTACCAGGTTGGAAAGGGCAAGAACCAGGTTTTGCTAATAAGAGTTAATGAACAAATCCTGCATGTGCGTCACTCTAATCATCTTGAAGCACCAGAACAGGCTGGCTTTCACCGCGATACAACTGGTGCTTGGTTTAATAAGACTGCTATGGACAGCGTACGTGAACAGAGCCTCGCATGTCATTTCCTCACACAAGGGAGGTGAAAATGATCCCAATCCAATCCTTTGGGTCTTTAGGAGAAAGGACTGAGGCTAGGGGACACCCTGAGATGACTGATGTGGATGGAAGTGTACTTATTTATTCCCTTCCTCCTTCTAGTTCCCCATGAGCTGCCCACTTGAAAAAACCCACAACTTTATTTCTGCTACTTTTAATTTTCTTACCTGCAGTCTGCACCATCCCCTGGGGGCTCAGGGGCAGCTTCACTGTGGGGTGCAAGACAGCCCCATTCTCAGCATCCCTGAGAACCTTCATCACCATGGAGACACTAGGTCCCCCTCCGGGTACCTGCACGTTGGCAATGAACGAAGCTTTCTTAGTGGCCTGGAGGAAATAGTGGGAGATCTCACAGGACACCTCCTTCCCGTCGCAGTCAGCATGGAGTAAGGCCTCGGCTTGAGGAATCTGTACCAAGTTCACTGGGGGAGAAGGGCAGCACAGAGGTCTAGTTGGATTGAGAACACCTGGGTCCATGGGAAACAGGTGCGGTGGGTGTCCTCAGGAACTGCGCCGTCCCAGCGGAGGGAGCCCAGAAAGATTGAGACATAGGGTGGAGGGCTCTTACCTGAGGCCTCGAAGGTAACAGGTGGGTTGTCTTTGGCCAGTGTGCCCCCTTGGAAATCAGTGAAGGCTTCCAGGGAGCCGTCATCCAGCACTGGTACCTGCCTCAGCACGAGCAAGGCCTCCACCGTGGTCCTACTGCCGGCAAGACTTCCAGGGTGCCTGTCTTCCTCCACCAGGAAGCAGTCTAGGACCACATCCACGTTCCGCCACTGCCTTTCTTCTGCAGGTTAAAGACAGGAGTGAGCACCCTCTTGCCCAGAGAGTTGCTTCTGTACTCGCCTCGCACCCCAACTGTGGAGTCATCAAGGAAGGTGTAGAAGTTGTCATCCAGGGTCCTAGCTGTCTCTGTGTCCCTCTCGTCACCCCCAAACCAGCTTTCTGGGAAGCACCTGCTAGTCCAGGCACATACCTGGTATGAATTAAAGTCCTGATTTACATTGGTCAGGAGAGTTTATGTTTTTATTCTCATTACAACTGCCAGCCAAAAAACTCTCTCTTCAGTCAAAGGAATTCTCGGCAAAAGCACATAAATGAGCAAAATTGCCACTGGGAGAGGAGGGAGACAGGCCGCCCGTGTGGCGAGGGGAGTTGGCACAATTTCCCAGCCAGCCCACTGGGTCTACTCAGCTTTCTGCGGTTACAGGTGGCCTTCCCCTCCCCCACCTCCAGGGCACACCTCCCGGGGATTTCCCAGCTTTCCGCTTGGGAAGGTGTCTGCTCCCAGGCAGTGCCCTCTCCACTAGGCCCTCCACCGCATCCCCCAGGAGGCCTCTCTTCCTTTGCCCTTTCCCACAGGCTGCGGCCTCCTCCCCAACACCATTGGTTCCTTATTTTGCCAGCCTTTCTCCTGTTGGGCTTAGGAGGTTGCTGGAAGCCGGCCCCCTCCCCCCACCCCCTTCCCCTTTGGAATCTCGGGGTGGGTGGGTCCCTGGTCCGCCCTGGGCCCAACACCCCCACCCTCCTCTTCCCTCCCCCTCCCCCCACTCCGGCCGGCGCTCCCCGCTCACCTGGGCCTGCCGCCACGCGGGACAGGGCCAGGCAGAGCAGCAGGCACCAGCCCTGCCCCGCGCCCATGGGGGCTGCGCTGCCACCCCTCCCGCCCCGCCCCGCCCCGCCGCCCTTCCCCACTGCTCCGGCGGGCGCGTCCCGGCTGGAGAAGAGGGGCTCTCCGAACCACCCTTTCTGGCCTGTAGCTTTCTCTCCAGCCCTTGGCCTCCTCCTCTTTCGCTTTCACTTCGAGTTTCACCGCGGCTGCTTCTGCCTAGGAGTGAAACCACTAACTAGGCGCGCGTGCCAGCGTCGTGATCACGGTTCTCCTTTCTTCCCCCGCCTCCCGCAAATCCTCTCGTTCTGTCAAGACCTGACTTCAACGGCATGCACCCTTGGACCCCCCCACCCAAGAGAGCGGAGCCGAAGTAAGGGAGGGGGTGGGGGGAGGCAGAGACCGAAGCCAGAAGCAGGATCCCCAGGAGCCTGGGAACCTTTCTTCATTTTCGGTTGGTGCCACACCCCCTGGCGGTCCTCCTTCGGCGACTGGGGCGGGCCCCTAGCACCAGTCCGCCCAGGAGAGAGCTCCTCCTTCAGATCCCGGATCTGGGAGTGGCTGGCGCGCAGAGACTGAATTTCAGAGCGCGCGCGGAGAGCATCGGTGTGTGGCTGGCCGTCACTTTATTTTGCAGAATTTCTACGTCAGTGATACAGCACGTGGGGGTTCGTAGGCAGAAGTGTGTTTTCCAGCTAGGGCCTCAGCCCTCCAGTGCAGCGCAGGGGCGAAGCCGGCTGAGCCAGGGCACACTCGGGCGCCTGTGACCCACCCTCCACCGCATCCCCTCGTGTCCTTGTCACTGCCAGTCTCCAAAAGTCACGCTCTCAAGTCTGCACACAGGAAAGGGTCCTGATAAGAGGATGGTACTGAAACCGGGGGTGCCAGGTCTCATTCGGCTCATCGGCCTGGGTGGCCGATGGGGTGGGACTGAGGCTGGGATTTTATTGTAGTGATGACCTCCCCACCCCCCAAGGCGAGCACGCTCAGGGGTAGGAAGCAGGCTCTGGTTTTCGGTAGTCTTCCTGAATGGGGATGGCGCCCCCCTCTTCCTCCCTGGGGCAGCTGTAAGGACAAGGCTCTGCAGGCATCACTGGACTTTCTTCTTTGTCTGCAGGAGGAGAATCAGAGGCAGTAAAGGTGGGGGGTGGTGAAGAGAGTGGACATGAACAAAGAAGGGTTAGCTTGGGGGAGGCTGTCAGGGGGTGCCGACGAAGAGGCGAGAGAGAAGGCAGGAGCAAGGGTTGGTAAAGATGGTGTGAGGGAGGCTTCCGAGAGGTTCCAGGCATGGGTGGCGGGGCTAAGGAAGTAGGGTGGGGTGCAGGGACAGGACTGGAGACCTGCATTTTGTCTCTTACTTAGTCCATTTTTTCTTTGTTGATGGAGGCACAGGACTCCGACCATGGTGAAAGCAAGAAACATTCCAGAGAGGACCACAAAGATGCGGATGCAGTCTGTGCTGCACAGGGACCTTTGGGCTGTGGTAGACAGGGGCCACACAAGTGTTTTTGGGGAGGGCCTAGGTCTCGACTCTCCTCAGCCCAGGCCTCCTGTTACCCATCTGCCATCTCTCTCTCACCCCAATCCCCACTGCTACCATTGGACTAAGTCCTTTCCTAATCCTTAGATTCTGCTTCTCTTACTTCTTACTCCTACTCCAGGAGCTTTCTGGCTGACTTCCCTCTCTTGTATGCATTCTCTCTTGTATGCATTCTCTGGGGGTGGAGAATGGGGAGGAAACTCACGTGGTCCGTGGGTAGAGAGAGCTGGGGCAGGCAGCCACCTGAAATCAGCTAGAGTTTGCACCTGCCGGACTGTCCCGGCCTCTGGCATCTCTGGAAAAAGAGACAGGGTGGGCAGCAGCAGGGCACCTCCCAGGGCACAAGCCTGGGCTGAATGAAGGCCTGAGGCCTAAGAGGCGCTGGGTGAGATGGGAAGGCTGAACAGCTGGCCAGGCAACTTATGTGGGGAGGGTGCTGGTTGGGGGGGGGGTGACCCTTATCCCTGTGACTGGACAAAGTATTGCCTGGAACTTACTTTTGGCGTAAGGTAAGTGGGTGGGTTGTGGGTGTGGGCCTGGGGCCTGAGATGGACGAGGTGTCAGTGAGGGGTTTGAAGGAGGATCACACTCGGTACACTCCTTGTCCCTGCACTGCCAGCCCTTGGGACAGGCACACTCTGCATTGGCGGTGAGGGTGCAGTTTCGAATGAGGAGACCTGGGGACAGAGGAGGGCAGGAGGAACACGAGAAGCTCAGGCCTCAGAGACCTGCAAGGTGCGCTCGCTAAATCCTATCTTGAGCTGCCGTCCCAGACCTGGATCCCGGAACTCCTGCCCCATCTACACAAGGGCCTGCCCCTCCCTCGCTGTCACCCAGTGCCTCTGCCTTTATTACTATTGCCATGAAAGGAAAAATGTAGACCTTTTAGAAAATTCATGCTTCGGAAATGCAAACTGGAAAAAGTAGAAACAGCTTGCATGATATTCTCTCTTATTCACTGATACTTTTATAGCTTCTTGAAGTGTAATTTACTTACAGAGAGGTACACAGATCAGAAGCGTCAAGCTTGAGAATTGCTACAAATTGGACCCATAGACAAGAGAAGCAGAGTTCCTTTCTAGTCACTACCTCCTCCCACCCACACATAACCCCTATCTAGCCTGACTTCCTAACACTGCGAGTTCATTTTGCTTCTTTTTGCACTACATTTGTGTAGTCATGCGTGTGTACTTACTTGTATCAGGCACTCTTATTCAATCTTTGTGAAATTCATCCACATTGTAACCATAGGCTATTCCTTCTCCTGCTGTATAGTATTCCACTGTATGAATTTCCCATGATTCAGTTATCTACTCTACTGCAAATGGCACGTGGGTAGTGTCCAGTTTTTAAGCAATCAGGAATAGTGCTGCTATGGTCCCTGATAGGTTTTTATTTTTTAATTTGTTTTTAAATGTTCATTTTTGAGAGGGGGGAGGGGCAAAAAGAGAGGGAGAGAGAGAATCTCAAGCAGGCTATGAGCTGGCAGAGCCCGACGCGGGCTCAAACCGACAAACCGTGAGATCATGACCTGAGCTGAAATCAAGAGTTGGACACTTAAGCAACTGAGCCACCCAGGTGGCCCCCTGATAGGTTTTTAACTTTACTAGAGATTTACTTCATTACTAACACACTTTGCCTTTTTAAAAAAATTTTTTTTAAATGTTTATTTATTTTTGAGAGACAGAGACACAGACAGAGTGCAAACAGAGGAGGGCAGAGAGAGAGGGAGACACAAAATCTGAAGCTGGCTCCAGGCTCTGAGCTGTCAGCACAGAGCCCGATGCAGGGCTCAAACCCACAAACCATGAGATCATGACCTGAGCTGAAGTCGGACACTCAACCGACTGAGCCACCCAGGTGCCCCTACTTTGCCTTTTAAATAGAAATGTTATTCAAGTGTAGAGGTCGGGTGCTGAATGACTGCCAATAAATTATACTAGAGGAGGAGGATGTGAGGGGTTCTAGTCTGGGTTGGACTCACAGGTGGTTGGGGTTAAGAAGAGGAGGGTGATTCTGGGGAAGGCATTGGCACCCGGACGTGGGCCAGGTTTGCCCGTGGACTGGTGGGACCTTAGGACGGTGCACTCATGGGGAACCAGGGAGAAGAGCCCCCACAGGCAAGGAGGGGTGCAGAAAGGAAGGCTGGCAGATGTCGAAGATGCTTACTAGTACTCTAATATTCCTTTAGCATGTGCTTTTTGTGAGGAAAGGGAGAGGGACACAAATTCCTTCTTCCCATCCTTAGGCCCCTAGGGCTGCTTCTTTCTGAATTTTGACTCGTAGTTGCTACTAGAATTTGGTTTCCTTGTGGCTTACCAGGAATTGTGAGCCAGCCTGGACAAGGATCTGCAAGAAGAGAACAGTGATAGGGGAGAGGAGAAGAGGTAGGCAAAGGTGAGGAAGATCACCTCAGACCCAGGAGGGGGTGGGCAGGAGGGTATCTGCCCAAAGGCAAGAGAAGGGTTAAGGAGGGGGCTGGGCTTGGTTACAATGGAAGGCGTGCCATTGTTTTTAGTGAGGAGTATCCAGAGACCTGGGAGTTCTTTTCACCTTGTATAACCTGTGCCCCAAATTCCAGGCGAATTTAAAGCACTTTTCCATCTTACCCATGGGAATACTGAGGTCCAGAGGGGGCCAAACTCATTCAGCCTCACCCCTGGCCACCGTCACCTGGAGTCCCTCAGCCAATTGCTGCCTGAGAGTTTTGGGGGCCTATGGGCTGAGTCTGAACCGCCTGGTCTGGAACACAGCAAAGGGAGTTCAGGCTGGTTCAGTATTGGGAAAAGGCCTTTTGGCGGGGCCTGCAGAATGCGTGGGTGGACTTTGACTAAAATAATTCCAGGGGTGCCTGTGTGGTTAAGTCGGTTGGGCATCCTACTCTTGGTGTTGGCTCCAGTCATGATCTCACAGTTCCTGAGATCAAGCCCTGAGTAGGGCTCCGTGCTGAGCATGGAGACTGGTTGGGATTCTCTCTCTCTCCCACTCTCTCTGCCCCTGCCCTGCTCGTGTTCACTCTCTCTCTCTCTCTCTCAAAATAAATAAACATCAAAAATAAATAAATAATTCCAACCCTGCTGGGGTTGCTGGCAAGAAGAGAAAAGCATCCATTAATATATTTTTAAGTTGAGTGGACTGAGGAATACTTCTTGTGTATTTGAGATGTTGGTTTTTTTTGACTTATTTGCAATGGCAAACCTTTTTTTGTTTGTTTTTATTTTTATTTTTTAATATTTATTTATTTTGAGAGAGAGAAAAAAAGAGAGGGGGAAGACCAGAGAAAGAGAGAGGGAGAGAGAATCCCAAGCAGGCTCTGTGCTGTCAGTGCAAAGCCCGATGTGGGGCTAGAACCCACGAACTGTGAGATCATGACCTGAGCCGAAGTTGGATGTGCAACTGAGCCACCCAGGTGTC